GCGCTGCGCACGCGCAGGACAGGTAGACAGAGTGTGTGTGTGTGTGTTCCGGAGACACACATAGAGTCCACATTATTGAGAACTTGTATTATATATATATATATATATATATATATATATATACTAACTATGCAACGCATTTTGACTTGTTTGAGCTCTAAAACATATTAAATTAAATTTAAAAAAAAATTCTTCGGCTATTGCAATTTAAAACCGATCCCTTCGCATTGGTCTAGGGCAGGCCTGCACAACATACGGCCCGCGAGTACCCACTATGCGGCCCGCGAAGTAACGAAATATTTATATCATTTTTTTTCTTAATAGCTGCGCCCCCCCCCCCCCCCCCCCGTCCTATTTTCTATCAGCCCGCACAAGTTTTTCATAAAGTATTAAGGCATTTTTAGTTGTGCAGACCTGGGTGTGCAGACCTGGGTGTGCAGCCTTGGTCTAGTGGAACAGCGAGATTTTTTTTTACCCCTATCCCTAATTACCCACGAATAATCTTCTGTTATGCCCCCGTTACCCCTGCTCTCCTATGAAATAAAGAAAATCATTGACTTTTAATTTCAAAATGTTTAAATCTATTTATCGAGAAAATACAATTGTAAATATAATAGTACAATATAAATGGATGAAATAATTGAATAAAAAAATATCTTAAAATTTTGCAGAGATGATGTTTCATTTTCATACAATGACAAAAACATTAGGCCTTTTTTAAAAAAAAAAAGAAAGGGACCCTTTGAATATTATTTGGGGAGGTTAAGTTACCAATTCCTACTCTTTGTTTTCATGTTCATTTGAGTGAAAAATTCCCCCAGGTTTTATGGCTTCAAGAGGCAGCAACGTTTTCACTGTCTCCACGTGAGCGATTTTGAGAACCTTTTGCATCTCTTGGCATTGTGAGCCCAAGCAGTGGCGTCACGTGGGGGTGGGGGTGGGTGCGGGGTGTGTGGAATGTACACAGGGCATCTTCTCTGAGGGCAGACACATTCACGGGTTGGGGGGGGGGGGTCGATAACCTCACAGGGTGGAATGTACACAGGGCATCTTCTCTGAGGGCAGACACATTCACGGGTTGGGGGGGGGGGGTAGATAACCTCACAGGGGATGACACCAATTGAAAATTATTAAATTTGACAGAGCTCGATCAAGTCAGTTTTATTGCAATTAAGCTTTACTACAAAAGCAGGGTGTCGCCTGTCACTAGAGTAGGGTTTCACCTGTCACTAGAGTAGGGTTTCACCTGTCACTAGAGTAGGGTTTCGCCTGTCACTAGAGTAGGGTTTCACCTGTCACTAGAGTAGGGTGTCAATGTCACTAGAGTAGGGCGTCGCCTGTCAATAGAGTAGGGTGTCGCCTGTCACTAGAGTAGGGTGTCACCTGTCACTAGAGCAGGGCGTCACCTGTCACTAGAGTTGGGTAAAACCTCAGCAGATTGTCAGAAGATGGTGTGTCACCATGGCCCTCGTTACCCCCATTAGGGGTAATTTATTCCAGTTCGCCAACCACTGCTTTTTTCATATGAGTACCTGGGAGTCGGGTATCAAGACGTTCCTGAACAGATAACGACCAAAAAATCTGGCAA